AAAAAAACAATTTGAGTCTAACAAGCAGGGTAATTTTGGAGACATGCATTGAGCAAATTCATTCACACATACAAGTATACAAACGGACGGGCACACCAACATACAATAAACGCACATGCAACATAACAACTAACAAACATACAAACAAATATACAAACACGCATACAACTTAAAAACCAACAAACATACAAGCACACATATGTACAAGGAACACGACACATAAAACACAAACTCGACTGGACAGGCCTGCATGCACTTTGGTCACAGGGAATGCATAAATCAATTACCCATATTACCGCAATTACTAAACACACTTTGTGTACGTTTGCCTGGACAACTCGCCTGCACGATGACGTGCACACTTGCATCGCAGCTCCTACCTTCCCAGCTTGTGTCAATAAAGGTACAGTTTATTTGTTTGTTCGTCTGTAAGAGCAACATAAAATCTGAGAATATATGTCTGAAGAAAAGTACTTTTTTAATCCTTTGTTGGCATATCTGTGGAATATTATTTGACATAATGCGGTTCAAACATGAGGAATTTAGTCATCGATTTTGTTTGCAGCTGCAGTGGCGACTGGGGCGTTGCGACAAAGACGGTGGCTGATCCAGGCGCTTGTTGCTGTAAGGACGCTCCTGAAGGCATGAAGCAAATAACATCAACACTCATTCATATCAACGAACGCGGTGGAATGCGCAAGAGATAAAAAACCTCAAGAGATATCGTATATCAGTTAGCATGGCGGTGATGAATTTGTGAGATTCATCACATTGCATCATTCACCACGTTCAACCATTCATCATAAACACTCCATTAGATTTCAATTTGATATTTTATAACTGTTTTAAATATTATTTAAATTACTAAAATTATGTTATCAGTCAGTAATAACGGGTGATAAATTGGAAACAAGATCTTCCCAAGTTTTGTGTTACTGTTTATTCGTTATATTTTTTAATCAGATTATCAATTTTCTCATATTTCGCAAATTTATATGTCATATCTTTTTTGTTTGTCCCAATATAACATCTAACATAGGTTTCTTTTAAAACTACTCTTTCTAAGTAGTGATTAATGTCAGAGTTTGAATTATTTTTTATTCAAATTTTTATTCTACCTAGCTAATTTTCAGTTATTGTCAAAACTATCTTTAATTTGGAAATAAATAAAATTAAATAAAATCATAAAAAAATTCGATAAAATTAAAAAAAAACAAAGTAAAATATTTGTAATAGTTTGTTTTCATAAAATAAAAAAACCAATATTTTTTTCAGATCAGTATGACTTTTGTTTATGATGATAAAAAAGATGAGCAAATGTATTAGCGAGAGACCTGAATGGCCAGTGACCATTAAGCATGCGTCTGAACAGAAACTACACTGACTATAAAGCATTTTAAGGTCAGTTACTTCAAAGGTTGGTGCTGTCTGATGGACGAATGGATGGCATATGATGGTCCGCTGGGAGGTTGAATGCATCTACCATTGATGGTGATCTGAAGTTTTTCATCATGAGGTATTATTTCATTCCAATTATCAATGCCAGACAGTTTTGTAACTTCTACAAAACCAGATTTATTATCATCACTGTCGTATTGTTTTCATTTATTATCAGTTTATAACAACAGCAACTAATGAAAAGCTGTTTTTTTTGGAAAAACTGTTTAATTTTTTAAGTAGAAGTGATGTATCTTATAGATTTTTCAGTTCTATAATAAGATTGTCTCCTGTTCAGGTGAAGTAGCGTCTCTAATGAGATTGTACAGTATTTGCCTCGAAGGATGTTTCTATTTCGAGCTTCGTATTATTATGGGGATTCATTTTAATAGGAAATTCATTTTCATTGAAATATATAATAATATTAAAGTACAGATATTTTATAATTTGTCTTTTTATTTGCAACCATTTAACAACTTGCTTCATTACTCATTCTTTATTTATCACAATTTGACAATTTATTCAATTTCGTAAACTCGTGAAAAAAGAAACTAGGTACAAATAACTTTTTTTTTAAGAACTGGGCATGAAAATCAGTCTGATTGTTATTAAAATATCATTTGTTGCAGCGTCTAATGAATTATTCTGCTTTATGCTGCACTCTCGGGTTGTTATGCCAAGTTAATGTTGAGCTGCGTGGTGTGATTGTTCAAAGTTTTTAGAATAAAGTTTTGGTCTCTAAACAGGTATTGTTGTTGTTGTGTGGTTGTTGTTGTTTAAATTTGGCAAGTTTTTATTACAAATTTTTATGATGCTTTACAACTGAAATAGATACGCATTACAAAGAGTCTGTTTATCAGTCTGTGCGATAACGAAATAAGATCTAGGGACCGATTCTAGGACCACTTCTGTTTCTGCTGTACCCAGCCGATGCTCTTCCAATCATTGAGAGATATAACTTCAAATATCATGCGATTGCTGGTGATTTGCAAATTATTTGTTCAAGTACTCCGGTTCCCACTTTTGAGGAGCTGGATGGTTTAATGAACTCAGTGGTTGGATGGTCTAGAATGGATTAAAGCTAAATGAAAGCATGAAACAGCTTTTGCCTGTCGTTACGTGCCAGCAGTTACAAAAAATTCGTATTAATTAAATCAATATTTCCGCTACTGTTTTCTATTTATGTGCATCTGTAAAAAATTTGGGTATTACATTTGATCAAACTATGACAATGAACCAGCATGTCAGGGCACTTACTAAGGAATGTTGTTTTCAACTTCAAAGACTGAGACAAATAAAAAAATCTATCGACAAGGAAACACTGAAATGTTTGGTTCACTCATTTGTCCAATCAAAATTGGGTTACAGTTACAGTGTGTTTTACGGAGTGTCCAATAAACTAAATGATCGTCTGCAGTCTATTCAGAATCGAGCGGCAACAATAATTTCTGAAAGATTAAAGTTCGACCATATAAGCTACCCCCTATTTGATCATCATTGGCTAACAATCAGAAGAAGAATATTGTTCAAGATCGCCATTCTAGTGTTTAAATGCCTAAACGGTCTAGGCCCACACTAACTGTGTAAAAAAATTTTCATATAAAACAACAACAGTCTTTCGACACGTTCTGACGACAAATTTTTCTGTCGTTGCCAGAGACGCGGTTGGTGGCGACCACTCGTGGTTGTGCAGTCGCAGGATTCAACAGTTTGGAACAGTTTGCCGGACAATCTGCGTCAACCAGGATTGACTGTTCTACAATTTCGCAAGGAACTGAAAACGTTTTTCTTCACACATCAATTCCACTAGACTCAAGAAGCGTTTTTGAGAAATATTAAAGGGCGCTATATAAAGTCTCTAATAATTATAGTAGTAATAATAATAATAACAATACATATATACATACATACACACACGCACACATAAATACACGCACACATACATACATACATACATACATACATACATACATACATACATACACACACACACACACACACACATACATACATACATACATACATACATACATACATACATTCATAAGAGGAGACTTCTAATGACATTTGAGTAACAGGCAGAACAGTCCGTGATGAAAATTTATGAAAAGGCAGCCTTTGTTCAATGAGGCCAATCTCTGATGTTGCCAACTCATGCATTCATCTTCTGACCTGCATCCATATTTTTTCTCATACAGGCTTAATGTTTATTTCTAACTGCATGCTTCTAAACAATCAATTCAGTTCATGTTTGTACGGTACGTGTGTGTTGTCGACAGCCTGTGGCTGTGGGAGTGTGTTTGTTTACTGTCTATCTAACACACAATTAACGATTTGTATATGTGTACATGAATAAATGATTTATATAAACACATGCGAGTTAATGATTCACATGTCTATTAACGTTTTAAATAGGACAACATTTTTTATCAGACTCGAAAATTTCAAGATCATATTATGTCCAATACATTGTTGCATCGAACATTAAACATTCGACATTGTCATTTTTTAAAATTAAGATGGCATGGACAAAGCCTTGCTAACTATGGAAAATGAATAAATAAACAAACCAAGGCGAAAAATCAAATGAAAAACGTTGAACTGAATGTGAAGGTGCATTGTTTGAATGTAGAAGATAACATTTGACTATAAAAAAAAACTTCAAACAGTGATTACAGTTTACATTGTTTATAACTTTATATATGAAGACAAGGATTATATTAATATATATATATATATATATATATATATATATATATATATATATATATATATATTGATTTGAAGTGAAATTGATAATAATGTTTGCATGGTTGTGATGATAGTTGTGGTAATAATCTGATGGTGATAGTGATGTGGTTGTGGCCGTGATGATTATGATGATGAAGATGACACCGATGATAATGATAATGATGATAGTATTAAAAATAGTGCCATCATGTACGACTATGTTGGGAATGATGATTGTATATATGATTGTGATGATGATGGTGATGATGATGGTGATGGTGATGATGATGGTGATGATGATGGTGATGATGATGATGATGATGATGATGGTGATGGTGATGAGGAGGAGGATGATGGTAATAATGATGATGGTGATGCTTCTAAAGAAATAATGACCTGGTTGTTGGTGCAGAAATTTTAGTGGTGCCAATAGAGCTGGCGGTGATGATAAAGGTAATGACGTTTAAAACATCACAATCACATGCCTCACTCATCACTTCATCGCAAAGTTTTATTTAAAAATTGATTTATTCTAGAATTTATTTGAATTTGTATCAACAAATCAACCAATCTCTATCAATCAATTAATCGTTTCCACAAATTTAGAAATATTTTTTCTTTAAGCATTTTAAACACGTCCAAAGAAAAAAAATTTAAATTAAAAAATAAATTTCACGACCAGAGGGAAGTTATAAATTAATAGAATCACACTCGCTCTTTGAAGCAGAAACTTTTTAAAGTTGAATTTTTTTTTTCTTCAGAAGCGTTTAAAATAGGTGGAGGCTATAATTTACTTGGAGCTTTCTCGCCTGACAGTCACATCAGCAGTTTAAATGAAGTTTGAAGGTTTCCAACTTTCATTGAATGCCTGTCTGCTCTCTACTGCACGCGTCGTGGCCGTCTTTGTGGCTTTACTTTGTGGCGAGGACGTGACGCGTCACGTGAATGACTTTTTAAGCGTCTCAAATCAAGTTGAGGTTAGTAAAGATGGCTTGAACAAGAAATTCAAAGTCCCTTAACCAAAACAATTTTAGCAACAACAACAATAATATCTGTTGTCGTTGCGAGTTGAAAGCAACAATTAAAAAGCAACATGAAAAGTTTTCAAAAAATTATTTCAACAATTCAAAATTATTATAAATAATAACAGAGATTATTAAACTACATGAACATGAATGAAACAATGAAATATTTCTTCCAAGATACCACATAATAAATACACCACACACACACACACACACACACACACACAAAAGAGAGAGAGAGGGGGGGGGAGAGAGAGTAAAACACACAAACCCGAGATGGAGTTAATATTGTCAGACGGCAGCATTCGGTCGCCTCTGATGAACGAGACTATTGAGCTACACGACAAAAACATCAGCAGAAACATAAAAATAGGCAACACATTTTTTCAGACGATTCCTAATTAGCAACAGCAGAAAAAAATTATTTATTTGAAAATTCAGCATAAGAAAATTCTAAACAAAAATTTGAGAAGAAACATTAGTTGGTTTGTTTAATCATTTCAGAGAAAGCCGCCAAGAATATTAAAATCAGCAAAATATATAAACAACGACAAAAAATAGTCAACAACAACAACACAGCCCTATAACGACGCCCATAACAACGCAAATAACTCCAACATAAATAACTGGAAACAGCAGTGAACTCATTAACGTCAGCAACAACAACATCAGCAACGACGACATCATCAACAACTACATCTGCATCATCAACGACAACCACATCAACAACCACATCAGCAAAATCAACAACATCAACAACAACAAAGACACTGTTGAAGGGAGATAAAAACAGCGCAACACATCTTGACGCATGCAACTAAATTAGAATGGAGGAAAAATTATTTTCATCGCAAGGAAAAAAATTATACACGAGCCAAAAAGACGTGCATCAATATGTATTCACTCATTTGCATTCCTCTGCGTTTTCGTCTATTCTTTCATTTCATCTTTGTTTCATTTTTTTACTTATTCATACAATTTTTTACTCAATCATTCATTCATTCGTTCATTCGTTCATTCGTTCATTTGTTCATTCGTTCATTCGTTCATTCGTTCATTCATTCATTCATTCATTCATTCATTCATTCATTCATTCATTCATTCATTCATTCGTTCGTTCGTTCATTCATTCATTCATTCATCCATTCATCCATCCATCCATTCATTCATTCATTCACTCACTTACTCATTCGTTCGCTCGCTCGCTTGTTCGCTCGTTTTTCGTTCGTTCGTTTGCTCGAACATTCGTTTAAACATTTTTTCGTTCGTTCATTTATTTATTCATTCATGTTACTTTTTCCATTTTTCATTAATTTATTTGTCCATATAATTATACATTCGTTCATTTGAAATTTTAATTTGTTCGTATTTGAATGTTAAAATCACATGAACACAAAAAGTTGAAAATTTTATCATGTGCCTGATGGAAACAAAACTGAACAATCTTCTTTATAAAAAAAAACACACGCGCACACACACGCACACACACATCAAAAACACATACGCACACACATCAAATACACATACACACACACACACATCAAATACACATACACACGCACACACGCACACATCAAATATACATACACAAACACGCACGCACACGGTTACATCGTGAGAACAGACACCAGAAAATCAACACGCACATGCATGCTACCAGATTTGCATACATCGTGTGTACTGACTGACTACAGCACGCACATCATATAAATTCTCACAGTCAGAGACTTGTTTAAAGTCAGCAAACGTTTGTTCAAGAAACATTCCCTAACCCCAGACACTTAATAACTTACAAGTCTTGCTGAAAATCATTATAAACATGAAATTATTCATTATTTCATTAAAAACAATTTATTTACTACACTATTTATTTTTCAAAATTGCTAATGAACATTTGCTGACTTATACCAAGTCAGTCAGAGCCATTGTGGAAAATTATACTAATGTAAATACAATGCACACTAACACACACGACCAGAAAAACACACACAAACCACACACACACACACACACACACACACACACACACATATATATATATATATATATATATATATATATGTTGGTAATAGACCATATATATATATATATATATATATATATATATATATATATATATATATATATATGTTGGTAATAGACCATAATTTTTACAATATTCTATAAATTTTACCGAATGTTTGGCGTTAATATGTTTGTAGTTCGTTTTTTCGATTTTTCTCACTAAAGTTTTTTGGTGAACGTTTAGTTTATTAAATTCAAAATAAACTTATTTTTCGAATTCATGCTGCAAATAAGTTTATTTTGAATTTTAATAAACTAAACGTTCACCAAAAAACTTTAGTGAGAAAAATCGAAAAAACGAACTTCAAACATATGAACGCCAAACATTCGGTAGAATTTATAGAATATTGTAAATATATATATATATAAATATTATATAAATATTTATTTATTTATTTATAATTAATATTATTACACTTTTATAAAATTTACAGACTATTATTCAGGCCCAAATTAACAATTTTGAAACGCTTACCAACTAAAATGAAACTATATATATACTTACATATACCCAGAATGAAGTCATAATGAATGCAGTTTCAACTTACACTGAGAAAAACACATGTATGTATGTGTGTGTATCTGTGTGAGTGTGTGTGTCTGTGTTTGTGTTTTAAATATGAAATACACATTTCATCATCACATATCTTGGTAGCATGGGCACGTAACAACTAACCATCCGGACAGACATACACAAACATGAACAAACATCTTCTCATATGTTTATGCATGCTGTGTGTGTCTGTTTTTTGTGCGTGTATATGTGTGTGTGTGGTGTCTGTGTGTGTCCATGTACGTATTTTTGAACTGAATTACAAAAACTTAAATGACCCGAAATGAAATAAAACATTTGAGTCGGGTGGAGTAAAAATATATTAGACGCACAAGCGAGAGCAAGTTCAAACAAATGATGAATGGATTGATGAATGGTGCATGAATGAATGAATGAATGAATGAACGAACGAACAAATAAACGAACAAATGAATGAATGAGTGTAATAATAACAGAATGAAAAATTGAACAACTAAAGAAAGAATAAATGGAGGAAATGATGCATTACAGCGATCTAGGATCCTTCAATTATACGTTTTCTCCAGCTAATAAAACTAACAATATGCAGGGCTGTACAGAATATATCTGTACGTGCAAGATGTTTCATGTTTATCCATTCATTCGTTCATCCATTAATTCACTCTTTCGTTCATTCGTTCATTCATTCATTCATTCTTTAATTCATTCATTTATTCATCTTCCGCGCTTTTTTTTCATTCATTATATTTCATGCGTATACATTCGATTCTTTCATGTCTGCACATATTCAGAAAAATTTTTTGTCTGCTTCTTGAGTTTTTTTTACAGTTCTGAATTTTATCGGGGTGTTCCCATTAAATGATTACTCTTGTGAAAATTTTAACGCGCGCTTATACCTATATAATTAATTTAATTTATTTTTAAAATTTATAATTAACAAGATTCCTATAGAATAGGGGAGCGCTTTAATGGAGTTGGAATTGGTCGTTTTATTGAATGGACGAATTGACCATTTAAATCCAAATTAATTATCAGCCAGCGCTTGTGAATAGTGGAGTGCATCCATCAATCAGCCTCTCCATTTAAATGTTAAATGGAGCTTACACGTTCTGCGAAAGAAATGAAAAAGTTTTTTTTGTCTGCTGAGTTGTTTATGGTTGTGATTTAGAGCGGCAATAAATTTCGTGTCATTCATGAAGCGAATTTTCAATTTTTATTACTCTGATAAATTGCTGCCAGTAAATAAACTCAAATGAGTTATTGTAAATTTTTTTTAGAATTTATTAGGCGAGGTTTTACCACTTTATATTTATAAATTAAAAAAATAAATAAATTTTTTGTAAAATTATTTGGTGAAAATATTACGTTGAAGTTTTCTTGAACAGTACTTCGTGAATTATTTTCGCATTCAATTGTGAAAAATTTGTATGAATTAAAGGTGGAAGTAAAATATTTTAAATTTCCATTTTTTATTGATAAATTTTATCTCTGCAGATCAACATCTATCATGTTCGTTGGGGCATGGATCAACACTTGCAAATGTTGAATTTTTATAAGGCCATAAAAAGTTATTAATTCAATTCTCAACCGTCAATCAAACTCAACTGGGTATGCACTTACAACTCTACTGCACAGCTCTGTACAACGCATTAAGTTGGATTTCAGCACATTTCTGACTAGCGTTTCATTCGCAAAAGTATGCAAGCGAGCATGAAAAGATTGATGGACAGAACGGAAATGGAAGGTGACCGAAGTTAATGCAGCCCCATGATTCAACTGACCAGCCGAGATGAGCACACAACTTACGATGCTGGCATGGTACTCTCCGAATGATACACGTCTCAAATCTTAAAACTATTTTAATTTTTCTTTATGAAAATATATTTCACATATTTAATTCTAACCAGGCGAACACGAGTTAAGAAGCAAAAAAATTGCCAGAAACATGTGCAAGTGAATGAGTGGATAGCAATGATTGTCGAATGTAGACCAGCTTTGCAATCTACAATCATTCATCTTCGAGCAAATTTATCGTTCGTTAATAATATTTTACGAAACTATTCTTTAATATTTAGTTTGTGTTATTATAAAATTTAACCAATGAAGCACCAAGTAATTTTTAATGAAATTATTGTTTATTTTTGTCATTAATGACATAGGGGAATGCGAAGCGCATACTTGCATTCAGTAGAAATAATAGACGTTATTGGTACATGTCAGTGACCACGCTGGCATGCTGCTGGTACGGTTTGTGCTGCAGTCTTCAACCACCTCCACCCGACAACAGCCATAATTCTTCCGTTAAATCGTCTAAAAAAACATTCTATACCACATTTTGTCACTTAAGTTAAGTTTATTCAGCAGTGAAACGATAGCAAACTCTGGTGGTGGTGCAACCAAGTATTGGCGATTGATTTATCAGAGGTGAATTTAACTAGAGACGTCTGTTTTATTAATTTGAAACACTGGGTCAGCCAGGCACCTGTGAGAACTGACATTGTTCAACGTATTCAACATTCATCTTATTCCACATCTGACTTACTGGTTAATATTTAACTCAAGAGTTGTTAACTCAAAAATCACAACTTTTTAATCTGACGAAGAGATAAAAGTTTCATTCCATTTCTTAGGAAGATCAATTTTTTCAAATGTTAATTTTCAGAATGCAAAATGTTTAAACTTCGCATTCAGCATTTTAAAAACATTTCCACTATTAACTATAAAACGTAAATAAAAATTCATTCCAACTTTATTGAAGGAAAGTTTTATTATCTTTATATTTCGACCAATGAATGATTTATGGCTACCGATGCGAGCACATAACAACGTCACAACAGTAAACAGAGAGGCATAAAATTATCAAGTACCATTTCTACGATTTCAAACAGGTCAACGATCATACACACGCCACTGAAATGTTTCTCGATGTTCATACTGGTTTAAAAGTAATGTTATTAAGAGTAACTAACGGTTTCGTGATTTATGTTTGCATTGTTGTAATTAACTGAATGAAGAGATAGTGTTATTGTTTGAGGTTATGTTTTGTGTTGCGCGTTGAACAATGCAACTTGTTGTACGTGGCGAAACAAAGCTCCAACAGCCTGTCTGGCCGTCTGTGAGATATCATATGACCGTAACAGCAGGTGTAAGTCTTGAAACTTAAGGAAGGAAATAAATAATTGGCCGAGATAAGTTACATTCGAGAAGCTGGAACAAAACAACAACAATGAATGAACGTTAAGTGCCAGGCGAGCGTGCGAACCAACACAAACACATCCATGCATACACACATACACACAGACAAAGACATTTTTAATCGTATAAGTACAGATCCAATATACTGGCTTGGGCATAAACAAACATAAACAAAAACACATCTGTTATATATATATATATATATATATATATATATATCTGTTATATATATATATATATATATACATATAAAGTATATTTACATATAAATGCACGCGCGCACATACACGTACCTAGATAACAAGTTTAGAACATGACTCACTTAGCAGTAAACTGGTGTAGCCATGCCATCATATACATTAGATGCTTCCTTGTATTGTTGTGTGCAAGTGTTCTTTGTTGATGTTGATGGTTGATGTTTTTGTTGGTGTTGTTTGTTGATGTCGTTTTGTTGATGTCGCTTGTCGTTGTTGTTTGTTCAGTTTTTATATTTCGAACTATGAATATGTATTCTGTAATGTTATGTGGGCATGACTTGATTTTATTACAAGGCTTACAGTGATGCCATCAGTATTTATGTTCATGTTTGCAGATGCTTGTGTGGGTGGGGTGTACCTGTCTGAATTTAAATTCAAAATCATTTTGTTGCATTCTTCGATAATCTTACCTGGAACTTGGATGCTTTTAAGACAGGGTAGGTAACTTTTTCTTCCGAGGACCACATTGGGAATTATATTAGCTTTAAATGGATATATATGATACATATATAAATCATTAAATACTGACCTTATCTTCAATCAAAAAATAGTTGTTTGCAAAATTTTTGTTTGTTAAGTCTGTTCCGGCAAGGTATTAGAAATAAAATGACAAAAATGCAACACCCATTGAACAAACTTTCTTTTGTAAATTCGGTTTCTTATTAAATGTCTTAAATTATGATGTTAAAAAATGCACAAGTTTGCATACCTCTGATTAAAGATTTTGTTGGCACATAATTTATTTTGTTGGTATAACCAAATTTTGTAACGATCATCAAAATTTTATTTAAGCAATGAAAACGAAAATCCCATACGTTGAATTTTTAACTTTGTGTATTCACCGTAGAGGACTCAAATTAAACTATGCAAATTTTGTTTCATATTTTTCTGATTTTCAATTAACTATTCTTGGCAAAACTAATTGTGGTCCGTAGTGAATGGTATTGTATTTATAACATAACAATTTGTCATAACTTGGTGATCATTATTTTGTTAAAAAAAATTGTAATTTTATAATATCGAATTTCATGGCATCATAATGCGTTCATGACTTATTGTAATGGAATGTAACGTTAATGAGTTTTCAATCAGCGTCTTGCTTTCCTTAACGACGTGTTGTAACCTGAGATGTGCCGTGCTGCCTCTAACAGTCTAAGTGCTATCACGTTCTGTTCTGACTGCCATGCCAGTTCCTTATTTCTCAAAATGAAATACGTCTCACCTGAATTCAAGACGCGTTAATTACGGGCTAACAATGTATTTATTGTTTTACAAAACTTTTCACTCATCATTTTAGAAACTTATTTTGTATTTTTTTTAGTAATTTATACACCCATTATTACAGTCTGTATTATTATGTAGTATATGGATGTATCACCTTAACTTGATACAAATCATAAAAATAAGAATGGTAGAAAGTTGTTGTTAATGTATATTTAACTAACAAGAGTTGTTCATTACAAGATAGTTTGCCAAAAATTATTGAAAATGAAAACAAAGAAAATGGAAACAACGTTAATGGAAACGAAGAAATTTATTTTTTCGTTTCTGCGTTGCGTGCGTGTAGGCATGAATGAATATTTCGTCAGATTAATAAGATGGCAATTCAGCTGTAGATCAATCATTATTAAGTTTAGTTTCAGTGCACGCTGAGCGTTCGACTGACTGATTAAACAATTATAGTGGGACCCCGCACTGTCTGCCGGCACTTTAAAATCCATTTAGTTTAAATGCTAATTTAATTTGGTGCAGTGTCCGAGTGGTGGTAGTGGTCGGCTATGATAACGTCTGTGGTGGTTGGTGGTTTCTTTGGTAGTTGGTGGTGGTTAGTGGTGTCTGTGGTGGTGTCGGTTGTGGTGTCTGGGGTGGAGTCTGTTGTAGTGTCTGTGGCGGTTGGTAGTGTCTGTAATGGTGTCTGTTATGGTGTCTGTGGTGTGTCTGTGATGGTGCCGGTTGTGGTGCCTGTGGTGGTGTCTGTTGTAGTGTCTGTGGCGGTTGATGGTGTCTGTATGGGTGTTTGTGGTGGTGTCTGTGTGGGGTCTGGAGTGATGTTTCTGACAGGTATGCTCTTGTGTTTGTGCCACTATGACCACTCACTGTGATTTTTTTGGTTGTTTACGTTGTTAGGTTCAACCTCATCGGCTTCAGGTTTTTGGTGTGATAATGAATAAAATTGAAAACATAGGTACATAAAAAATGATACTTTTTGCGAAGAGATATTTAAATTTCTGGAACGACTCAGAAACATTTTTTGCATATTTTAATTTAAATTTCTGTGAAATGCATCTACCATAAAAAAAATACTTCATCAAATTTTGTATACATAATACCAAAACACATATTCCTATTCATATCTCCATGATACCTACAGATAAAAACAGTATATATGTAAATCAACAATTGAATTTGCTTGCCTTGTGACTTATATGTATTAATACAATCTACACACAACAACAACAACAAAACAAATTGATAGCTGAAGATCACACGAGATGACATCTTGGTACTGTCTATTGCATTCAGATTCACGCGGCAAGGTACACACCGCCATTCAAATGAGAGCTCATTAGATCCATTTCCATGTTGTTGTAATTATTCTTCCACCAAATCATTCATTCATTTGTAATTTTATTTATTTATTTATTTATTTGTATTTTCCATTTATTTCTATTCAAGTAAAAATATTCATACAGTTTTCCAATTTAAAATTAAACTCTTATAGTCTTATAAACATTAACTCTCATACTAGTCTACAAACTAACACAATTTTCCAGTAAAGATAATGTAAGTTAAATTTTCGTGTATCTGGACAACATATTCATTACAACGAATCTTATGTGTGTGTGTGTTTCAGTACAATATAAACCATTACAAATTAATGCAAACTGGTCTGTTTTATTATCAACATACAAATTAATGCTGTTTTACTATCAAAATACCAATTAATGCTTTTTAAATTAAAATGTCTCGAATTTAAAAACCACAATTACTTATAAATATGTACACTTGTTAGCGATGTTTGTCCTTGATAAAGCGTTATGGGTTTTGTGTGCGTGCTTATTTTGTCCGTGTGAATGAGTGAATGATTGAATGTGTGTGTTAGTGTGTGAGAATGAGTGTGATTGTGTGTGTGTGTGCGTGTGTGTGTATGTATGTGCGTGTGTGTGTTTGTGACATCAATTTCTTCATGTTCAGTGTCATTCCCACATCATTTTATTATTACAGTCATCATGTCGTCAACGTGTTATGACATTTTTCTTGCCTCCAATGTTTTCAAATGTTCACCTAGCGACATTTTGTGAGAAGTCGGATGCAAAAAGTATCCATTACGAATCATATCACTTGATGATGGATGGATGGATCCTCATAAAGATAACGCCAACCCCATGACGTCATTTTGTTGGATGTAATGGTGAATTTGTTGAAATTATTATGACAATATGGTTGTGTAGTGGTGGTATTATTTAATGATGTGAACCTGTGGTGATGTCGTAAAGTTGTGATGATCCTAATAACCAATACATGTGTACATACATACGTACATACATACATACATACGTACATACATACGTACGTACGTACGTGTTATGTACGTATGTATGTATGTATGTACGTATGTATGTACACATGTATTGGTTATTAGGATCATCACAACTTTACGACATCACCACAGGTTCACATCATTAAATAATACCACCACTACACAACCATATTGTCATAATAATTTCAACAAATTCACCATTACATCCAACAAAATGACGTCATGGGGTTGGCGTTATCTTTATGAGGATCCATCCATCCATCATCAAGTGATATGATTCGTAATGGATACTTTTTGCATCCGACTTCTCACAAAATGTCGCTAGGTGAACATTTGAAAACATTGGA